TTCAAGAAATCACACATTAAGAATAACTTTTCCTTGCTGAATTTATCCTAGATTTCACTATCTAGATGATTATAGAGATCCAAAGCAATATCCTTAATGTAATTACACACTTGATCCTTATCTTTTTGATTAGTCATTTTATCGACAAAGACTCTTTCACATTCATGCATCCATAATCCAACTAAAAATACATCAGATTTCATGGGTCCAACTTAAGCAGCAGTGTTTATTGTTTCCTTTCTGACTGATAGGATACCCTTGAAGACACGAGATAAATCTCTCATGTTGAACACGTAATGGAATTTAGCAGGTGTTGGTAACATAGTTGCTTTGACCTTATTCCAAATTTAAATGGTTGCACCAGTTAATGTATCAATAGCTCTATTGACATCAGCGGAGAAATATTTAGCCTTGAATTAATGTTTGATGATTGGACCATAAATGCCTTCAACTGAGAGTGGCAAAATCATATTGAAAATGACTGCTTGTCTCTTCAATCTGTTGGGAATATCATTTCTACCACCTCCTGGATGTTACATAGCTCCGATGTATGTAAGGTTCTTGATACCTCTGAAATTACCTCTTTAGGCTTTGTCTAACATATAGAAACCACCCTAATCGATCAGTTGTCTAACTATTTCCAATGTGACTTAATCTCCCCACTTATTTACAAAAGGCATTGAAAGATCATCAATGAATACAGTCATGTTTTTATTTTGAGGAGGAGCAAAATCTTTACCTATTTTGAAATCACATTCAGCTTCAATGGCAGCTTAGAAGTGACTAGGTAGAGTAGCAGATGAAAAGTTGATTCTCTTGAACAACATCTTTTCTTTGTTGAATTTGTTGGCATACATAAGAACACTTGATGTTTTGGCTGTACCACTACCTCCGACTAAGATAACATAACTGCAACTGACAGGTGGTTATGGTGATGCCTTTGGTTGATTAAGAATGTATGATAAGATCATTTCAGCTCTGAATGAATCTACAGTGGGCATGAGTAATTGTGAGAATTAGAATTTATCTGGGGCCTTCCATTCTTCTGGTGATATGAGTTTCCATTCACAAGTACCTCTTTCATCTAAGTAGATATAGTAATCGAAGACTGTTTCACCATCCTTAGCTTTGTATGGGATTGGGGCTCCTTTTTAGGCTAAGAATTCATGGAATAAGATTCTATCTTGCACTTCATAGATACCACCTACTCCCCAAGTCATAGCAAAGACAACTACTTTTTCATAATCTTATTCAGTCAATGTTTTATTAGCATTTACTAATGGTCTCAAAATACCATTCAGAAGATTTAAGGTTTAATAGACCTTTAATACATAAGATATGTCCATAACAGGATTCTTGCATGTCTTGTCTATTGTTTCTAAAATCAGATAAGTGTTAAAGTATTTGTTGAGTAAAACATTCAACTTTTCTGATTCATCTACTCTTGCATCCAATTTTCTTTATAGAATCCACCCTTTCCATACTGGTTCATATCCTAAATCTGTTGGTGAAATATAAACTTATCCACATCTACTGACTGTTGCTGGTGAAGCATTATTCAGATTTTCAACTTCAAATACCAATTTACAATTTTCTGTCATTGGAATACGTTAACCATTGGCTAGAGTAAGAATCTTATTGTCATCCAACACTGTATTCAAGTTTTCAATCCAAATAGCATCCACTGGACCATCACAAGTAATCCAAGTAGTATGTTTGTTGTTTCTGCTATTTGATTTCTACCAAATTGTACTGAAAATACCTGGAATCCAATCATCTGAAATTTCACTCTTGACTCCATACATTTCTTAGGCTGTAATGGCTTTGGGATTAAGTCTTGTAATTCTGTGAGGAAGTCCCAAATCAGTCAATGAATCTGTCAATACTGCCATAATTGTGGTCTTACCACTGCCTGATGGTCCCACTAACATAAAACCATGTCTAACCAAAGCTGTTTCATATAATTAAATGATCTTCAATTAGAATTTATCATTGTTGATTAAACCTCCTTTTCTTTGGATGACTTATGGGATCATTTTTTCAACATCTGGATATTCCTTCTTTTTGATATCACTTTACTTAGGGAAGATATCCTGTAACAATCCATTGAACAAAGCAATATCATCAGCCACCAACTTACTCAAATTCATATCTCTCAAGGATCTCATTAAAAGCATTTCTTCATCCGATTTAAGTTCTTCTCTTTTAGTATTACCAGCTGTTCTTAACACTGATAAAATGTTACGTAAACCGAAATCATAATGTCTTTGTTTTGAAAGTTGTTCTTCACATAAACGATATAAGACATTGAACTTTTTGGCTAATGCATCAATTGAGTTATAACCAACAGAAGCCAACTTGACTTTAATAATAATTTCTCTATCTGGAACCATCATAGACACTCCTCTAAATAAGGCTTTTAAGTTCTCTGGTAATTCTTATCTACCAGCATATCCTGGATTCATAGTAATAAAGTAACCAACTTGTTATTGCAATTCAATGGGAGCAACTTCTTCAGGGAACATAAATTCTTTAAGATGTTATTTCTTTGCAGTTGTAATAGCTTCTACTTACATAGCCACGACAGAAAGCACCTCCAAATCAATTCTATTGAATTCGTCGAAACAACCCCATAAACCTGATTAACATAATCCCTTGAAAATCTTAGCCATATCTCTGTATCTGTGTTAATCTGAACAATTTGTGACAACGACAAAGACTCCCAAGGTTCTACCCAAATCCTTAACAGTTTCAGTTTTACCAGTACCAGCTGGTCCTGCAGGAGCACCACCATAATACATAGACATAGCTTAGGCCAATGTGATATAACATCTATCTGTCAATGGAGTGATACACAATCTTTCCTTTGATCCCAAGAATTCATAGGCATATCCTTGATCCCAATCTGTAATTGAAATAACACAAGTGTCTGGATCTTGTTTCCAATAAAGACGAGTTTACTTTTACCAATCAAAATCATTGATGTCTTTGCATTTCAATTCTTAAGCAATATCTCTTTAATGGACATGAATTGTGACCAAAGTTTCAACTCTTGTTCTTTCTAAATTACTTTTGTATCCTTCCAAACACATGGCTGACAATACAGCCATCATATCTCTAATTTCAGCTCTCTTTGCTTCCATGATATTCTTATTTTCCTATCTTCCTGTCTTTTCCAATGCTTCTGTGATCTTTTGAGTCCAAATGACTTGAATACCCAACAAGGCAACTTAAGAACAATATGCCTTACAGAAATCCTTTAATGCCATAGTGAAACAAGCACTACAAGCTGTTCTTGTAATGTCTCTTAGTGTAGATTACATTTGTAGTTCTAAGGTCTTTAACCAACCTTCAATATTACCCTCGCATTTAACATTTTAATTCAAATCTACAATTTCTTCATCTTTTCCTGCACTTTACATAATTTATTGGATCACTAACTCAGTAGATCCTTTCTTTTCAGTGTTCTTTCCAAATGTGACTTTAGTAATGGCATCAAACAATTTTTCAAAATCTTCTTGAATACTCTTTGGATCACTTCCTTGAGATAAAATCTTTAATAAATCCTGATTAGCCACAAAGTAAAATCTTGGGAACTTCTTTCTTTTACCTTCCAAATAGGCTTCCAACATCTTTTAG